CTACTACAACAACAACTACAGCAGCTACAGCCACAGCTACAGCCACAGCTACAGCTAGAACTGCAACTGTTACAACTACCCTACATTACAATACACTACACTATGCTAGACTACAAGTACAACTACAAGTACAAGTACAACTACAACTGCGACTAGCTACACTGGAAAGTAATGGAATGAGTTGTTTCTATTGACGAGAAACGTTGGGGTACATACACAGGGGGTATAGGGGGTATGGCCATATAGGTACATTGGTACGGTCATGCAGCTACATGGGTACAGCCATAAAGGTGCATGGGTACGGTCATGCAGGTACGTGTGTACGGTCACGTAGGGACATGGGTACAGCACATGGGGGCATTGGGTGCGTACGGGGTACGGTACGTGTGGAGCATTAGATGGATACACACGTATACAGTGCTTGGGGATGTTACTTGTGTACACTTGTACAGTACCTCGAGATTTATGGGGCGCTTCAGGGTATGATGGGGCGTAAGGGTTTGCAGGATCTAAAGGAGATACCAGAAACGAAGGAGTGCTGCGACGCGAGATTGTGTAGAGACACCCCGTCTTCAAACCTGAATCAATTTTCAAGATAACATAACTTAACAGTAGCATGATACCACATAATTGCAGGCATCTAAATTCTACAGTACTCAAATGTGGTCGCGATTTTCTGCTTCGCGTTTTGTGTTAGGGTGCAGTAGCGTCAGTGGAGGGTTCAGGGGAACATTCTTGCAAAGACATGAATGTCCTAGCAATGGGAGAGGGATGTCACGGTCGAAGAGTCTTCCTAAAGCCTTCCTCAGAGTTTTCTAGGGCGGGAAATCGGCTACCAACCTCCAATCTATATATAGGAAAAGCACGTTCAGTACGTTGAGTGTAGGAAAACTCACGATGAAAACCAATAAGATCCAATAAGGATTGGATGCCCTTAAGGCACCACCTCTAAAGACAAACGTATTGCAAAAAAAAAAGGTTTGGTTCTAGAAGCCTAGCCGTTTGACACTTCCACCTTTCGGAGTTGTCTCAAGTCTTCCCAGGACTTTATGTGTCAGCCATCCTAATGCAAAAGGGCTTGTAACCTAATTTGCGTGTCCACAGTTTCAGCTCAAAAAGGACGAACATGTCCCGGCAGAAAGTTTCAGAACCTTATCTGGATGGGTCTTTGCAAGACTGGGGATATCCTCAACCATGCTTTGAGGAATTGCACCCCTTGTGCTGAATGTCAAAATGTGCATTACATGCTTTAGCCTATAGCCATCCGAGATTGTGACAGCCAATGCAGAGACCGTTCCTCAAGATAAATCACCATAGTGTGCCATAGTGTAAGAAGAAAACCTGCCTTGCACCTTTTTGTGAATAGGGGTAAACCAACATAGGCCTGGAATGGTTTCATGTCGTCGTAAGGGAATGAACATATTTGGACACAGTAGCCCGCGATTCGATCTCAGAGAAGCAAGTTTCCAAACAATTCAACCAAATTCAACCATGCTCAAAAAATATGATGTACGCATACAAGCAAAGCGGCTATAACTCATAAGTGCTCAATTTGGTGTCTCGTATTCTCTCAGTCCCTAGCCGCGTCTCGTTGCGGATAACAAACGTTCTGTTTTGAAGCATGGACAAAATCAACAGCGGAGATTCCGAACATGTTGACAAATGTCGGCAACACGCGGAGCAGTCCAAAACGTTATATTGGTAAAACATGTGCCATTGGAAGGCAAATAAGGCAAACAACTTTTTGCCCTAGCAGGTGTGAGCGCAGTATCAACATTATACCGGCAAAGTCTTGTGAGTACCCAAGATAGTGGGCGCTGCCCGTCCCAACCCGTCCCATGCAATATGGGTAGAGGAGCACTTGGCTGGAGCCAGCTTTATCACACGTACCCTTGCACCGCACCCTCGTAGACGACCCATGTACCGTACCCACGTGCCGTACCTACATACCGTTCCCACATACCGCACCCCTACCGTACCCGCACCGTACCCGTACTGTACCCATGTACCCAATGTACCGTACCCATGCACACAGTGTACGGTACCCAGTGTACTGTACCCATGCACACAGTGTACGGTACCCAGTGTACCGTACCCATGCACACAGTGTACGGTACCCAGTGTACCGTACACATGTACCCAAAAGCCTGTGTACGGTACATTGGGTACGTGGGTACGGTACATGGGTATGGTACGGGTACGGTACGGGTGCGGTACGTGGGTACGGTACAGTGGGAACATAGGTATGGTACATGGGTACAGTAAGACGGTATGATGGGTATGGTCAAGAGGTAGACGCGACACTCGGGCACGGCATGGGGAGTAAAACATGGTGATAAGTTCATGCGTATGGTATGGGACCTCTATGGAGATGCCGTTGGTAGATATTTACACCGATTCTGTATACTACTGAATTCTATGTGTACGCGTAAACATGCCAGGAATAAAACAAGATAAGGCGAGCAGATGCAGTGCCGTGTAAGAGGATAAAGGTTGGGAAAGCGTTTTGTCATTTGAAGTCGGTTGTGGTTTTGCCAGGGAGACGCATGTTAAAGAAACCGTGGGGTCCATGACATGCAGTGGTTGCTGTTAATTACACAACTATATGTTATAGATATATGTAAATACATACGTATAAGTGGGACGATGGTTTTCTGCTATCGCGGATATGCTGCCCGTCTAGTAGCAGGACTCTTGCAGCTAGTGTTGGCATGCTTTGTCTATATGTTGCTGTTATCTATATAAGTGCTGACATGTTTAATTGTTTTTGGTTTCCTTATTCTTGAGCCAGATTTGCAGTAATATCAGGTGACACCAAGAAAAGGAAAGTCAAGGATTCAAGGATACTCTTTCATTAGTTGGTTGAGCTCATACATTTTGTTTTTTGCACAAAAGATCTAATCTAGAATATATATATATATATATACAAAGTTTTAGTTGATCGCAAGAAACGTTTCATTTGAAAACGACAAGATAATATGAACATTTATGTTTTTTGGCTAATGTGTACATTCTGTTTTGAAAAAAATTGGGCCTCGGCATGTCTAAAGCGGGCAGTGCATCAGAAGGGGCACCGCCACCAATCTATAAAGTTCTTCCCTGAGGACCGCTCCGCCCTATGACGTTAGATGCATGTTCCTGAAGTGGCCCCCCACAAAAGCGCATAACACTGTGTAGGTTGGTAGGAAAGCATCCTGGAAATTAGCACCAAACAGCAACAGTCCCAACATCTGTATGGAACGAAATGTGCTTTGCCAAGCAATGGCCCCCGTTGCTTCAAGATAGTTTTTGTGGACCGCGGAGCTGTAGAGGGCTATCGTTACGTTTTTCTTGACTAATTGACTTGTGTTTGCGTGCCGCAGGTTGCCAAACATTCTAGGTCCGAAGAATTAATTGTATGTTCACAGTTCATTTGAAAAGGCAACATTTCAAAAACACTGGCTTGCCAGAAGATGCGTCCAGAAAGTTGCTTGAAAACACGTTTCCAGTGCCACATCCAGCCTCTGTTTAGTTGAAATGTTCAGTTGAAGGTGCTTCATGCTCAACCAACGACCAGTGCCCCACATTTGTGCCCATACCCACTATTCAGTACCATTGACAGCGTACCTTTTAAATGCACCCAACGTACCTCTGAGCGTACCCCCGACATGTACCTAGCACAAGTTGTACCTAGCGTACCTGCTGCACCGTACCTGCCTCAAACACCTAGCGCCCTACCAACACACCTCCCGATAGAGCATTACTCTTGAGGATAGATAAACTACAACTACAACTACACTACATTACACAACACTACCCTGCACTAATTACACCACACCACAGCTACAACTACCACTACCACTACAACTACACTACGTTACACTACACGACGCTAGTTACACTACACTACATTACGCTACACTACACTAACTACAACTACAACTACAACTACACTACGTTACACTACACGACGCTAATTACACTACACTACATTACGCTAATTACACTACACTAACTACAACTACAACTACAGCTACAATTACAACTACACTACGTTACACTACACGACGCTAATTACACTACACTACATTACGCTACACTACACTACATTACGCTACACTACACTAACTACAACTACAACTACAGCTACAATTACAACTACACTACGTTACACTACACGACGCTAATTACACTACACTACATTACGCTACACTACACTACATTACGCTACACTACACTAACTACAACTACAACTCCACTAGGCTACAGCTACAGCTACAGCTGCGCTACACCACACTACATCCAGAAGTTGAAGGTGAGGTGTCCACTGCAACCATGGCAGCCACTCCAAAAACACAACTCCAACCACCTTTCGGTCCATCAGTGGATTCGCACTGCCATCCATGCATCACAAGAACTCACCTCTCGTATAGTGTCCTATCTTTGAAACTTCGGCCACCACCTTGTGCGGTAATTACTACTGGTAAGAAAGCGATCATACATATGTAATTTAAGTTAGCATATGACTAGAGTTTGGGGTGGCGGAGTCCATCAGCGCCCCGGAGACATTGGACAGGAGAGGGGTTGGCTCAGAGCGCCTTTGCAATCTTGAGATACTCAACTCAAGTTGAAGCAGCAGTGGGAAGATTGCTTAAGAGAAGAAACCGTTTGAGTCTCTTTGCAGGAGCTGTGTTTTCTTCAACTGATATTGTTGCTTGGTGATGTGGCAGGAGCTCCTTGATTAAAGTCAACAATAGAGATCCAGTCATGCCTCTCAGATAAGAACAACAACATACCTCAAGCTGGCCGACGCTTAGCAAACGCCCCATGCGGCCTCGAGACTACCAATGCCTCACTAAAATCGTTGAAACATTTGAAAGTGCTCTGGGCTCCATGAAATGCTTACCGTTGGGTTTATGCCACCTAAAACTCAGCACATTATCAATTTAATTGAGAATATGTCAGCATATTTCGGTATAGTTCCTGACATAACTATCTCTGACCATGTCGCTATGGACGCCATGGACGCCCCGCGCTGCTGTCGAACGCATCTCCTGGAGCTGCGCGCGCAGAGTTCGAGCGCGTTGTCCGCGGAGGAAGTCCTGGAGCTGGCGCAGCTGCATGCGAACAGCGACGGCGATGCCTGGATGATATTGGTGGGTCTGGGGCTCAGATGGCTGATCCTCAATCATTTAAGAATCATTTATCATATTTATATATATATAAATATCATATCTATTTTTCATATCTATTCATTTCTAATCATCTTCCAAAGGGCCACCGAGAATTGTGTCCAAGCTCATTTGCTAGAGAACGTATGGACATGCGGATGCGCATTTTTTTGTTTTTTTGATATTCTTTGCACTTCTTCGCAACAAACTTGACACCAAACTTGACCTGGTGAATCAAGCAAGCCTCCCCGGACTCAAGCCTTGTGCCATCTTGCACCTTGATCAGGTGGTGAGCATGGTGGGCGCATGAGGCCAGACTACGAAGGAACAAGACCAGGGCCGTACTTGGCAGGTCACTGTTCGCTCCACTGGATAGGTCGAGTCTATTCTCGCTTGGTTCGATTCTTTGGGCGAGACAAGGTGATTGTCATAGCGCAGTTGCAAGAAACGTTGCAGTGGTTGAGAGAGGCCAGCAAGGATGAGGAGTCAGCTCAGAGACTAGCAGGGCGTTCTGCATTGCTTCCAATGTTGCAGCAGCAGTTGTCAGAACTCCTAGAGTCATGCGCTGACCTGATAGCAGATGGTGGGGCGCACTATGACGGTCCTGAGGTCGGGGAGTGGCTGTCGGCCGGGGAGTGATGTCAGATGTCTAATGCGAGCTTCACTGCCATGACTTTGATAAAAGGTACTGTTTGAAGACATGGGCGCTCCGGCCAAAGGAAATCCTAGATGTCTACGTGCCTACAGTAGACCCTCATAAACGTTCACGTTCATTTCATTCAGAGTTCTCTACATGAATGGCAGTATTCCAATGAAAGATCAACTGAAAGAACAGCAGTATCCATGTGGGCCCCGTTCCCAACTTGTGGCTCCGCCAGGTGAATCCTGCAACTGTCCTGGAAGTGCTCCGTGGAGAACGGCCCCGAAGTATTTCTTCACGGGTGCGCAGTGTGCTGCTGCTGTTGGTCTCACATGGCCATGCGCATCCTGCTGGGCCTGGCACTAGCCATCATGAGTGGTACATGCACCTGACACTTGTCGCATTTCAGGAGCTTTCCCATTTATTTCCGGGAATGAAATGGAATTGCAATTCAATTCTCGCTTTTGTGGAACCGGACCCCTTATCCACATGCTGAGGCCATATCCTGTGCCTGAGAGCGACGCGACGCTTTATGATGTGGTTTCACATCAGGGATTTCATGAGGTCGATCCACATCCCGATTGGGATTGGGGAGCGCCAAAGCATCGATGGAGGCTCTATTCGCAGATGTTGTTCCAGGCGCAGTGAACACTTATCCGACTTACCCCCGAAATTTTGATGTTGGGCTTGTGATGAGTGACACATAAAGTTATTCACCCCGCTTCGCGTGGGGTGGCCGCCCACACCGCAGGTTTATTTCGGTCCGTGAGAGGGGCTAAGGGTGGTTTTCCCCCGTGGGGGCTCCCCAAGCTAAGAAGTTTCACTTCCCCCCCCCCCGTGGGGGCTCCCCAAGCTAGGGAATTTTCACTTTTCCCCCCCGTGGGGGCTCCCCAAGCTAGGGAATTTTCACTTTTCCCCCCCGTGGGGGCTCCCCAAGCTAGGGAATTTTCACTTTTCCCCCCCCGTGGGGGCTCCCCAAGCTAGGGAATTTTCACTTTCCCCCCCCCGTGGGGGCTCCCCAAGCTAGGGAATTTTCACTTTTCCCCCCCGTGGGGGCTTCCCAAGCTAGGGAATTTTCACTTTTCCCCGCCGTGACAGCTTCCCAAGCTATGGAATTTTCACTTTTCCCTCCCTTGGAGGCTCTCCAAGCTGCGGAATTTCAAATAGCTAGACAACGACGCCTAGATAGTCCCCCAAATCCCGTGTTCTTTGAATGTGTTTCCATGTTTTTGCAATGGTTTCCTTCAAAGCACGGTACTTCACACTTTTGTCGCCATAAAACCGGTCGAAAACATCATGTTCGACAATGCTTCCAATTCCCTTATCTCCCCAACCGTTGAAAATACCGCTATTTACAGTGTTTTCTTCAATTTTTCCATGTGCCAATGCCGGTAGCCAACTCCAACATATATATATATAAGAAATCCTTCCAAAACATTGTTTTTGACAGTGTTTTTCCAATGTTTCCAGTCAAACAGACGGTAATTTACACGTTTTTTGCCATAAAGGCAGTAAATCCTTCCAAAACATTGCTTTTGACAGTGTTTTTGTAATGTTTCCAGTCAAGCATACGGTAATTTACACGTTTTTTGCTATAACGTCAGTCCAAAACACTTGTTTTTGCAGTGTTTTCAATGCTCTGGCATCCAAAAACCCTGCAAAATCTTGCTATGTACAATGTTTTTTTCATTTTTGGCCGTTTTTCCATTGCCGGAAAGCTACCAAAATGACCCAAAATTCCATTTCAATACCCTCTTGCGCTCAGACACCCAAAAATCCTCGAAAAATGTCGAAAACACCACCGTATTCTGGTCTCGGTGCGAAACCGTTTTTGGGGTCTGGTCTCGGTGCGAAACCGTTTTTGGGCCCCCCCCCCCCCAGCTAAAGCTGATATAGCGACTGCTATATTAACAAATGTCATTGAGCATTTAGTGTTGCTGTTGCCCCCCAATAAGCACGCCTTCACCGCCAAAGCGGTGTGGGCGGACTTCAGGATTATCCCCGCACCCACGGATGTCTGCCCACTTTCCTACAAGCCTCCTGTTTCCTAGTCCACCCCTGCAACGATCAGGGGTGCCTGCCTCAATGAGGCAGCGTTGAAGCTAAGCCAGAGAGAGAGAGAGAGAGTTCGGACTGCCTGTTTGTCTACTTTAGATGTTGCTTTGCTACCTGCTGTTTACATGTCGAGCAGGTAACCGCGCAAATAGTTGCTTACCGAGCAGTACTGTACTGTGCGTAGGCGGTGCCCACATAGCTATCATTGAGGACTAGTTTCAGCACGTTTCATTTTATTTGGAAGGAACCGATAAAATGCTAGCGCACAGCCGCATCAACTATGTTTACCACTTTTTTCCCAGTTATCTCATACCGTCAACAGGTTGGCCTTAGTAGAATCCGTGCAGGTCTAGCCTCGGTTCAGGCATGTGGCAAATGACATATCACAACGCCCCAGGCATATCACAGCATGCTGGAGCAATCACCTCATCGGCGATTGGTGATCTTCCATCAGTTCTGCTTATCCGGAGGGGTGGTTGAGTTCATGAGAAGGCCAAGTGCCCTGGCAGAATGATTGAGTTGAAACATACTGAACCCATTTGAAACCAGGTCAAACATGGTTAAACCAATTCCGGCCATCCTGTGATCAATCATGGCGATTTCCCAATATCCATGCAGCTTTGGATAGCTTCGGGAACCAATTTTCATGCCCTGCGTTTGACGTCGTTTAATGATGTTGAATGCACCTCGGGATTCGTTTTCAGACCTGGTGCTGAGGTTACCGGACCTATTTCGGGACCCAATCCTGGCCGGTCTTCGCTGTGACCACGGCCGGCTCCTTCGAGCCAGCCTTGGGCACCTTCATTGGCTTATGGAGCGACGAGCTTCGAAAAGCCCTGGAAGCCGGTGGAAGCAAAAGCTTGGGAGAGGTCCAAGCACTTGCAGAAGCAAGATATTGGGCAGACAATGCTGGAATTAAGGTGCCTGGAAGAGAATTGAAGGGAAACTAGGCACAGGACTCGACATCAAGGAGAAACGGGGTGTACTGATGTGTATATCTATTATGTATATAATACCATAGGGAAAGGAAAAGTCTGGCCCCAATCTTTCAACATGCGTTTGTAAGCCTTTAATTATATTATATGGGAGTTGATCCAAGGCCCTTGTAGGGATTGTCCACAATGATGACCTCATCTCTTGCTGAAGTTTTTCTCCTTTTGCTGAAGTATGGACCTTTCTGCGTGCCGCTTCGAAGTTAACAACTCTAAACTGAATTACACACATCGCACCCCAAAAGGAGCTCACAAAGATAAATGTTACCATATGCCATTGAAAAGACATCATCCAGATATATCAATCCAGATTAAATACTTCCTCCCAGGAAGAAACTGGTTTAAGGCATCCCCGCTAAAGTTAAACGTGGAATTAAAAAGCTACTTTAGCTAAAGCATGGCTGGTGTATTTTTTGGCCAAAAATGGCTGTTTCAGGATGAAAGAATTTAGATCAAAAATGATCAAACCCCACACCCACCCACCCACCCACTCACTCACTCACTCACTCACCCACTCACCCAGTCAGATTTGACGCCTTCATGCGCCTTCATTTTTTTGCTTTCTGAGGTGCAAAACGATCGCATTTTGGCCGGCGAGTTGCCAACGGAAGCCTCTACCGTGGGCACCGTGGGCTGCGAAGCCGGCTTCGATGGCCGGTCCCAGCAGCTGATGATGGCGCTGCCGGTGCGGGAGATCGTGAACGAAACGAATGAAACGAACGAAATGAACACCGTGAAGCGCACCCCCAAACGATCCTTGGGGGAGTAGGTCCTGGTCCGTCCAGATAGGTCCCGGTCCCGGTGCCGGATGCAGTCATTCACTCTAGAAGTATTATACCACATTTTACCTATACTTCTTATTTTTTAAATGTATATTACATAAATATAGACTATAGAGGTGTAACCGCAAGAGCTGGTTTCAACATGTTTCAAGCATGAGACGCTTGGAGCCCTTGGTCTAGCCATCTTTCAGGGCCCAACAGCACCAAGAAAGTGGATGATTGCTGTGGCGCTTTGGGTGCTTCGGCCCCAACAACACATGCTTTAGCTAGATCAGCTGATGGCATCATTCCTTGATGGCACAGCTGTAAGTGTACATAGGTGGACTCAGCACCAAAACAGGGCTGACGGCCGAGGGTTTTGGGTGTTATATGGTGCTGGTTTCGCCTGCTTTTCACCATTTTCTAGAACGAACTCACATATTAGATTGTAAATGATTGTAAGTAACAACCTTACAAGATCTCGCAAGATTATCAAGGAGAAACGAAAGCATTCATTTTAGATCTTTGTAGACCGAAAGTTATATAATCGAATGTTTCCACTCAGACCACTGTTCCTATTACTCTCATCACTGTTTGGTTACTCCATGAGCTGCTTGCCTGTCAGATTGCGTTGAGGGCGGCTGCACTGCATGTTCGATGCTTGGCTGAGATCCAGAATGCGATTCAGAAAAACTTGATGCAGTAGGCCGGTGCCAAGATTTGTATAGATTTGTGGTGAAGAAAGGTAGAGAGATGTTGAAATATGTTCAGATATCCACCATCCATGCTTTGATCCAAAGCTGGCCTCTCAGGAAATGCTGTAAAAGCGTGGAGACTGCATGTGACTCTGTTTGTCAGGGCATCCTGGTGGCAGTTTCAGTGAAGGAAAAAGTACGATGGCTGTGTTATCCTCCTCTGGTAGCACTCACTGTTTGGTACTTTCATGAAGCGGCCTAAACGGGCAAACAAATGCAAAAAATGGTCACCATTGAACCGGGCAGATAAATATCTTAACCATTCTTAACCTAATCTTTGCAGCGTCCAAGGATCAAAGGCCTGATTTATGCAGGTTTTTGGGTTTGAGCCGTTTGAGCCAAGAAAACGAAACGTACGAAACAAGATGCCAAAGCTCGAGGACTTGGCACCTGCCTTGGCAGTGTTTGCGTGCCCTGCGCGGTGATATGGTCAAGATGCTCGGTGTTGCCTTCTTCAGATCTTTAAGTTGTTTTTTCTGGGAAGCCGGCAGTGCTGCCTTGGCCTAAACATGTAAGATGGAGTCTGAGCCAAGGACCACTGGGTATGTATGTTGTGCCTCGGCTGCAGTCCTGATGCCCTTGGTATGTGACAGTTTGGGACTTCTGCTATTTTCACAGCTCAAGAGGGAACCAGGGTGCAACACAGGGTCCCTAGAAAAAGTGGCAGATCCAGCATCCCAACATATCCCAACTATATAACCCATTCTTCGGTTCATCGCGCCAGGTACTCTGTTGGGCCTTCAACCTGCCGGCTTTGATCGCCTCGGTCTACTCCCTGGTCCAGGTCTGGGGCCAGCTGGCGCCCGACGTGCGCCCGACGGAGACATCTGAAAGTCATCTGAGACATGGGCCACGGGCCACGGCGCCAGGCGGAAGATTGTGTGCGGAATCTGAAGGCTCTGCTGCTTGGGAATGCAATCTTCAGCTTCGTGTGCGCCAGCTCAGCCCAGAGTGAATGCCAAGATTGTGATGGGCCCATGTCACATGTCCATTGCGAACGAAGTGTTGGGTTCCAGACTTGACTAGAATCAGAATGATTAGCTAAAATGAACCTCCTTCTTCCAGCTTTTCCGCATAATTTTGTGCTTTCCATTTATCAAGGCAAACTAGGCAAAATTTGCTGTTGAATGTGTCAACAGAGACGGCTCATCAGCGTGCAAATGGCAGGCATGCTGGATTTGCACTGTACCTTCAGACGAGGTCTGACATGTTGATTGTTTCCAGTGATTGGCTCATGCAATGTGCCACAACGTGCTACAACGGGCCAGGTTGTTCCATGGCTTGCAGAAGGCTGCGGAAGGCCTCGCACAGCCACCAACTGCCAAGGACCTCAGGGCTTCAGCCAGTGATGGGTGCCGTGGGTGCCATGGGTGCCATGGGTGCAATGGGTGCCATGGGTGCAATGGGTGCCATAGGCCTAAAGGATCCAAAAGGCCTAAAGCCCTCTTGGAGTTTGACGACATCTCAAGGTTGTTGATGCTGAGAGATTGGGCCTGTCCAACAAACAACACATTTTGATAGACATGTTGTGCTTCTGGCCAGGAACAAATGAAGCGTGTGGAGCCTATAGCAGCCTTCACAGTAGTTTGCCACATTGCTGTGTCCAGATTTGCTGTAGTTTCAGGCTGCTTGCTCTTTTTTTGCAAATGTGTCTTGTCGAGTTTCACGCCTTTGGCATTTACCAAGGAGCTTGGGATATTATCCTGTATGATTTTGGTTTTTTGTTCTACCTCTTCGCCTTTCGGGCTGCACTATGCATCATTGCATCGTTGCCCTGCACATCCCTGCACCATGTTGATTTTGCACACAAAGCAGCTTGGATGGCTTTCCCATCATTTCCCAAAACGATTTCAGGTCTTTTTCGGATCATTTGGTACCACCCTTAGCTTTCCATGTTGTTCAAGCAATGCAAGAAGCCCATCCAAACATATCCAAACCATCTCAATGCTGTGAATCTTGGCATTCTTGGCGGAAGATGAGGCTTCAACTGCTACGCTTCTGGCTGGGCTTTTTCGTGTGGGGCCGACTTCCTGGCCTTTCTGCCCAGCCTTTTGCTGATCCTCTTCTTCCTAGCAGCCGCTCGGGTCGCATGGGTCGCCTCTACGGCGAACAGATGTCAACATGTTTGGACTGTCCCTGAATAGCCTAGGCCCATCTAGGCCCATCTATAGGCCCTTTGGAAGTGAGTCATTTTTGACCGAGCTGCCCACATTTCCCCGATTTTCCCCGTGTCTTCAGGCCATGCAATTCGCAGTGCTCTGGTTCTTCGTGCTCTCCTGCACAGATTGCTGCCAATCATCTCCCATTGCACGAGTGGTGCTGGGTGTTAAGCCAAGCCACTTGCCAGAACTGTGTCGCTTTCTAGGATTCTAGTCGGATTCTAGAGCTATAGGAGGGTGTGGCGATAGCTTCATGACAAGAGGGAGCAGGAGAGGTGTGGACTCGAAACTCCAGATTACGTCATCAGCTTGCACTGTCTGCCAGTCTATATCATAGTCCATCTATTTACTCTTTTTCAGCTCCTCATCATCACGATCATCACACGATCATCACGCGGATGTTTCACGGGTGGCAGCATGGCAAACTTACCACCATGCCAAGCCTCTGAAACAAATCTTCAGGCCACCCGAGTCAAACAGCACCACCTACGAGCCTTGGCTGATGGGACAGCGAAGTGTCGCTGAACTTGGTACTGTACAACATGGTCAGGTTATGTTGGGTAGATCAGTTGTGGAATCATTGTTTGATTTGAGCCATAGGCGGAGAAACACTCATCATTTGTGAATCCACCTGGATCAATATAGATCAATCGCGCGAATGTCACACGACTTTAGCCATCCAAACCACCAAGTGCTTCGTGTTTAATTTGGTTTGGATCCAACTGAATCCTAATATTTTCGCATATTTCCGATTCATATTTTGATATTGTCAATCTGCAGATGATGCCATTCATCGATCGCAGTTGGCTAAGGGTAGTTGGACAGCCCGTGGTTGGCAAGCCTGCCGGGCCTCCGCAGCAACAGATGCCAGGGGCGTCCCCTGCACAGGCCTTGGCCAAATGACTGGGCATGACTGGGGTCAGGGGCTGGCCCATAAAGTTGCCATAAAGATCGTAAAGGAACAACCATAAAAACTGCTGGGATGCAACTACAAGTCACATTATATAAATATAAATTATACAAGTAAGACATAGTAAAACAATTTGTCGATATTTGTTGATAATTATGTACGTGTGGGGCAAAACTATATTGATAACGAAATATACGCAACAAAATTGGGGCATGGCCAGCCTGAACCGGCCTTTTTTCACGGGGGTGTACCAAGATACCAGCTGTAGACATCGCACATTGCCCTGTTGTACATTGTTGGCGCCAGGTCTGACAGGATACTTTCCAAATGGGTTTGCGCGATCCCAATGGGACTGCCAGCTGCCCTACTGGTAGGGGCAGCTTCCAAAGTACGAACCACTCACTAGTTTTGTAAGAACCCCTCAACTCCTTGCAAGTTGTATAAGTATCTGTAGTAGTAGAATAAAATTGCATTTTGATGAGGTCAATTCTGCTGAGCATTGGCATCTAGGGTTCGGCATAAAGTGCTGTCACAAAAACACCGTGCGAAGAAACCACACAGTCTCCGCCCAAAGACAGTCAGAAAGCGTTGTTTGCTTACTTCGGGGCTCTGACTCTCCGCCAGGCTATGTACGTTTGAGCCTTAGCACTTGACGCCAAAATCCAGAGGAGGTTTGTAGAGCGGTGGGCTAAACGTTCTTCCCGATGACCCCAGCCTTTCAGATGACCCCTGCCGCTCATGAACAGAATGCCATAAGCGCTGACGCGCTTGCAACATTTTTGTTTACTTTTGCAACCACCTCAGGTTCCAGCACAGCCTCAGCAGCCTCAGCAAGCCTACACGCCGACAGCCCCTCCAGCGGCCTCAAGCAATTCACCCGCCGGGCAGGAAAAGCCAAGTGCGGGACAACAGGCGGCTTGGGATGATGTGGTGAGGGTTCACTCTTCCTTGCTTTTGTAGCAGGCGAGGGTTAAGTTCTGTGGGACATGGACCTGCAAACTTGGTCAACTTATGTTTTCTCTGCTATTATAAATCCGAGACATTTCAAGATGTCCAAGTCCTCCGCCGAAATTGGAGCAGCTCAGGCAGCTCAAACAGCTGCTGCTGGGGCAGCGGTAGCCTTCGACATGGGAAAAGCGGGGCTCAAGTTCCTCGGAACAACTGCCACGCTGCCCTCTTTGGACCCCACTGATCTCCCCTGTGCATTTGTCATGCGGCATATCCTGGCATCATTGAGGCCCCAGAAGCAAGTTGCCCTAAACCCGAATATTTTTCCAGGTGTTCTTATTTTCATTAATAAATCACTTGAGGATTGTGAAATATGACTTGAGCGAGTAAATCCGAAGGCACCTGACAACAGGCTTCAGACAGGTCCTGACACAGAGAGAGAGAGAGAGCACAACCTTGATGCTGGGCTCAGGAAAGTGGGAGGATGGCTACAGAAGAAGTGATCCTCTGCTCAGCTGGCTCCGGCCTGCCATTGACCAGTCTGAGCCGTGGTCCTTCGAGTCAATGCATCTGAGCTGATTGGATCCGTCCATAATTTCAGCTCTGTTTTGGAAGGCCTCAGGGCTTAAAATTGGATAAAATCTGTCACAATTGGATGATCTGAAGAGATCACCGAGTTTATTTCCGCGGCCAAAGGGCCACGCAGCCAAAGGGCCGAGACATGCCGACACACCTGGAAGAGCTGGGTTCAAACATCTTCACACGGCTGCATGGATGTGGGCAAGCGGGCTATACTACTATAGCATACTATAGCTAGAGTGGGCTGCTCCAAACCTTTCCGGCGCACCCTTGTAACATCACATCAGGATATATCAAGATACATTAAAATTAGGATATGTTACATCCTGAAGGGTTTTGTTACTAAAATGCTGAGATCAAGCAGCATTGTTTTTTTGTGCGTGGTTTCACTTCGCAATGGGAGAGGTATCACCATGCCTTTGACACGTACCATTCCCGAACATGGTTGTCCATGGTTATATGATGTTATATTATATGGTATATGATCGAATGATCGTTTGCCGAGGTTTGTTGGAATTTTGGCCACATCAAGGCAGGCTGCCAGGGAGTTGTGAGCGCTCTGAGATTTTGATCAGGAGTTGGTCACTGGAACGACATCCAGTGACTGCCAGGGCCAAGTGGAAGAGCTTCTGTGCACAGCAGATGTGGCCACGGAAGACCGGTTCGCATGGTCGTGGCAGCTCAGCGCAATGGAAAGAATCCCAGAACTGGTGGGAAAACTCGTAAGCCGATAATTTGCTGGTCATGACCATGACATGAACGTGTATATACCATGATGCGCTGGTGTTTGACATATTTCAGGATGCTTAAACCATTTGAGTCAGATTCAGGGCTAAATTCTTCTAACCTGCTACAAGCTGAGCTTTTGCAAACCTTGGCCAAACCAAGGGAGGCTTCGCCAGTGCCTGATCAGCATAAGTTCTTGACTGTTCACGGCTTTTCCAAATGGCAATGATTGGCAATGCATGATACACATATGGCAATACCAAAGGAGATTGGAGCAGGTGTTTGAGTTGCAATGTTGATACGTTTCCTGCTGGTGGAGTGCCTGCGCTGGCATGTCGTTTTTTTACAATTTCCAACTGCGTAAAGTGAACCCAGATGCGATGCATCAACTCATGATTTGAACCCAGGGCAATCTTCGATGCAGAACAGATGATGCTGAAAACCTTGGAGGGATCAAAGGACTCCACAGCTTGTGCCGACTGTGATGGGGAACCTGATTCACACCAGCAGGGAGACCGTGGAAGAAGGTGCTGTCGAGTTGCTTGGCGATCATCTCGTGATTTCTGGTTGCTGCAGTTGCTGAGTTGGGATGATTGGGTAGATTCCATGCGCTCTCAGCCTGTCACAGATTTTTATGAAAGAGCTTGCAGCATCGCCACATATCGCCACATATCGCCACTCAAACTGAATCACACCAGTCGCAGTTGACCTTTCGGACAACCATTGTCACATATTCCACACATTTTCTATCAATTGCCATGGCTATCATGACTCTTGGCTCAAGAAACCGTCTCCGGAGAATTCCGTTGACGGGTCGGTGCCACCGGCTGCCACCGTGTTTTTTCCGATGCAGCGGCTGCAGCCGGTGGAGGTTGCAGGACCAGACAATGCAGGCGTTGCACAAAAGATCAGGATTGAGTCTGACAGGAATGGAGCAGTCCTGAAGGGTTTTGTCAGCGACAATGGTGACAATGTGTTGCTTTCCTGGGCTCAGGATTTTTGTGCCTTGGGTGAACACGTGAAAGGTCAGCTTTGTTATTATGAGGGTCACCTTGCAAAACCCGGGGAATCCTTCCCTCAGCAGCTTCAGCAGAAGTTGGAAACAGATTTCACGAGGCGCGGCCAGGCACTGGTAGAACGAGGTGTCCTCAAGGAGAACACAGAGATCGCCAAAGGAAGCCCTTCTGCTGTGCAGGCTTTGTTCCAGATGTTGCAAGAGCTTATGCGGCTACACGAGTCATGCATGGAAGAAGGGCAGGACTTGCGCTGGAAGATCAAGGTTGAAATCAACCAAAACTGCGCATGCACCAAGTACCATGATGATTCAGTGAAGGTTCGCTTTGCCATGACTCTTGCTGGTGATGGGACCGTGCTTGCAGACAACGCACAGGTGGATTGGAACTATTATGAGGCCTGTGAAGGCATCATCCCTGAGCTGGCAGAGAACCCAGATGCCAAGGCTGAAGCAGCCCACAGGATCATAGAGACTTGGAATGAGCGGGTTTGCAAAGGTTACACGGAAACTCAACCAGGTGATGTTGTCATCATGAAGGGTGGCAAGCTTACCAAATTTCCTTGCTTGCATCGAGCGCCTTATTCCGCCGGCGAAGGCCGGAACCCAGCAAGGTTTCTCATTACCATAGACCACATTCCTGCAGATGAGCTGCAGGAATTTGTAGATATGGATCTAGTGGATGATGAGGATGAAGAAATGATTGAAGCATCTGAAGCCAAACCAGCTGCAGATGGGCTTTTGCCAGTCACCGTTCTGAGCGGTTTCCTGGGTGCCGGGAAAACCACACTCTTGTCTCATGTGCTTCAGAACCAAGAAGGGCTTCGTGTGGCTGTGATCGTCAATGACATGGCTGAGGTCAACATCGATGGGTTGCTGGTGAAGGATTCTAAGGTGCTGGCTGGTGAGGACAAGATGCTTGAGATGCAGAATGGCTGCATTTGTTGCACCTTGCGTCAGGACCTCATCGAAAACGTCACGCAGTTGGCCAAGGAGAAGCGGTTTGACTACCTTCTCATTGAGAGCACGGGCATCTCTGAGCCTATGCCAGTCGCCACTACATTTGTAGCCGAACATGAGGGGAAGAATTTGTTGGGCAGCGTTGCCCGTTTGGACACCCTTGTGACTGTGGTAGATGCAGTGAATTTCTTCAAAGACTACAACAATGGTGTTGAGAAGCTCAGAGAAAGATCTGCCTTGGGAGCAGAGGCCACGGATGAGCGCACCATTTCGAGCCTTTTGACCGATCAAGTCGAGTGTGCCAATCTCATTGTGCTCAACAAGATGGATTTGGTCAAGGAGTCTGATGCCTCCGTTCTGGAAGGTTTCTGCAAGAAGTTGAACCCCAAGGCCAAGATCATTCGCTCCAGATTTGGCAAAGTGGATCTCAAGCTTTTACTGGACACCAAGAGCTTTGATATGGCAGAAGCAGAAGAAATGCCAGGTTGGTATCAAGAGCTACAGGGAAACCATGTCCCTGAGACCATTGAGTACGGCATTTCCAGCTTTGTTTTTCGGTCACAAAAGCCCTTCCACCCAACCAGGCTCAACAAACTCCTGAGGCGCGGTCTGGACCGAGTGCTTCGTTCCAAAGGAGTCCTATGGGTTGCAGGTCTCAACGTCCATTGCTTGGTATGGCACCAGGCAGGTGAGACCTTGAGTATTGATGATGGTGCCCAGTGGTTGGCTGCTACGGATCTGGCTGAGTGGCCTCCGGAACTGGAGAGCTACAAGACCTCAACATATGGAGATCGGCGGCAGGAACTGGTGGTCATTGGTCAGCAGTTGGATCAAACTGCCTTGCGAAAGCAGTTGGAACAAGCACTGGTTACTGAGGAGGAATTTCAGATGGGACCACAGGTTTGGGACAAGTGGCCCAATGTCTTCAAACCACAGAAGGTCAAGACTCGAAGAAAAAAGTTGGCAAAGTCTGTGCGAAGCAAAATGGTTAAGCCAAAAGAGGCAACTCGCACTGACTAGAATGGACCAAAGATATCCAAAGATTGCATGTAGAGGGTCATACTGAGGGGTTTGTTTCTATCGACGTGTATAGCGCGGCATAAAGCTGCTTCGAGGGGAAATACTTAATTGCTGTGGCCCTAGCTCCAGTTTACATAGTTGTGCTGGTTGCCTTCTGTGGCAGATTGGTCCTATCAGGAGACCAGCGAAGTTAACGATTTCTAGGCGCATTTCATAAGACGCTTTAGATTCTTACCTGTTTCCCAACAGCTCAAGGTAGGTAGGAACCAAACCAGATTTTCTCGCAGGAAAACAGTATATAGAGCTTTGCGCTGGGCATATTCCGGAGTGTTTTGTAGGACACCAAGGGCCTCCAGATGGGGATGGAAAGCGATTGAAAGACTTGATATTTCGACACTAGTTAGAATGGCAGTGAAAAGTGGGACAATCCTGATCATGAAGAGCTGGGTGATGAGATGGGTCAAACCATGTCAAACTACTGGCATGTGTCCTTTGATATCCTTTGTATATGCCCTCCCTGCTGACCTGGTTGTGCCCTGCATGTTTGAGGCTGCTGCATTCAGTGCAAAGCAGTGTGGCCCCTGAGAATGATGATTTTGGTCCACTCCAGGTTGTGTCACTGCGGACAGGTTTTTCTTTCAAGCTACCATTTTGGTGCCTTCCGCGGCTCCATGTTGCTGAATTGGCTGCTGTTTGGAATCATTTTGGCCCATTGTTTCAGGTGCTGAGGCATACCTGATCTTCGAGACGCGCTCAGGCAGGGACAAGGCCTTGTCGACCTTGTCCCGTGGCTTCTCCTTCCGAGGCTGGGATAGCTAGGTAGAGGGGCAGACCATGGCAGACTTTGCGGATGTTTGGTCCTGTGCCAGGCAATCACTTAAGCATGGCAGTTTTGAACCCAGAGACGACAAACCGCATCAAACAAAGAGAAACAGATCGAAAGGAGTTGAACAGTTTCTTATGTTTTTGGATGTTTTTGGGCTGGGATGTTTTGAAGATTTTTGAAGTGGCATTTGGATCATTCGGCCGAAGAATGCCGATGGTGTTTCTGACGTGCCTTTGCCATTCCTTTCTGGCGTCGATTTAGGTCGCCCGCCACGAGCCGCGGAGCATCCAGTGGTGCAGCCCCAAGACCTGGATCTATCGTTATATTATGTTATATAATGTTATCGTTATATCCTGATATTATATACATTATATTTTTTGAGGATGTATATATATACCTGGAAAACCGTATGGACATTTTTTTTGTCCATTGTGGGTTTTTCCCGTGACGGACTTTTTTTTGTTCAATTGCGTATTTTGGTTTTTGATTGTGAAGGGTTGTTCAAATCCTTTGACAACACCTTGTTCGGACATCCTCCGACAGTTTCCAAAAGAGGAATTTCAGTCCAAAGTGGAGCAAATTGGGAGTCGTGATCGGGCACCCACATCTGGCCACAAATACTGCCATATTTCCCACCAAATTTGGATGTACCCATAAAATACCAGTATTTTTTAAACATCATGTTGAAAAAAAACAGTAAGCAAATGTCAACATACTGCCCCAAATACTGTCTCTAGAGGAGACACTCATACTGTCGGAACCAGTCCGACAAATCCAAGAGTTCAGGAAAACTATTAACTAAATTAACCTGTGAGTAGAGGGTTTGCAGCCGGACATGGCCGTATTTGGAAAAAACACGTAACGGACAAAAAACATGTCCAAACCCGTACGGACAGAACATTTTGTCTTTATGGTTTTCCAGGTATATATATATATACATTATTATACATTGTACATCATATACCTATATGCATATATTTATACATATATGATATAATATAGGCCGCCTTCAAGACAGGTGTGGAAACATGTAGGTAGAAGCCACTTTCAATGAGGGGATGCACTCCAGCAGTCCTTGCTAGTGATAAAGATCTCTGTCAAGAGCTTGCTCGAATGGCCCCTGCTGGATTGAACGTTTTTCTTTTCAATAGCCAGGGCAGTTTCGCAATGTTGCTAAGAAAGTATGCAGTATTATGCGGAAACTATGCATACATGGTTCCCATGAATTAAGTTCTTGAAGCAGCTAGTCCAATGTCTTGACTTGTTTTGACCCAGTGTTCAAGATATTTCAAGATTAGAAGAGAGAGAGTGGCTGAGTGGGGGCCAAGATCAGCTGGGATCAGCTGGCGTTTCTCAGGCAGAACTATGACCGATCTCCGCACTCGCTGAAGTGGTGGAAGATCTCCAAAGGCACCGCAACTAAACATGGCGGTTAAACGGTGATAACGGTGGACCCTAATAGACTCAGCAGCCGATGGCCATCGATGGCCCGTAGTGGATATGGGTGGGACGTGCACATCTTTGTTTGAATGTATATTGGTGCCATATATGTTGATCTTTCAAACCAGATTTAGGACAGAAACAATCATGATGACTTGTTTGTTGCATGACACCTAGTACTTGTATTACTGTACGCTGAGGGGAGCATGGTGACTCTGTTGCCAGATCTACCCGAAGAGTTCAATGCATGTCGTCAGTGCTGCACCCATTTTCAGTACTGGAAATGCTGAACAATATCAACATAGAATTGGATGGCCTCTGTTTTGGTGGCAGGGGACTATATTTGTCCAAAAAACAGGGGCTTGAATTTCGAAGGTATTGGCTGCATCATCTTTGGACTGATAGTTTGGGCCTGCAACTTTGGCTGAACGTCTCGGGTGATCTGGGGTACGACATGCATCAGTTTGTGCACTTTGGCCATTTTTCAGCTGTTTCACTTTCAGGGGCAGTTGAGGATAGGACCTGACGCTGAGGTATTTTCTATTTGCCTTACGCTTGGTCGATTTTCACCTTTAACTACGAGGCAAGGTGCAAAGACTGGCCAATAGATTCAATAGATATTGTCCGCATGCATGGGCTCTGTTATCACCTGTTGTTGCATGCGATCCACACAAAATCGACCAGACTTTGGAGTCATCTAATTGCATGACAGATTATTGAGACAGGCCACCCAAACAAACGTGCAAGACTTTTCCCATTATCATCATTATCCCACATGCTCGACTTGCTTTGCTACTGTTTGACCTCTTCATGTCCAGAAGACGTGTGACATTTTGTGGCATGCGGCTCAAGATAGAAGGCTTGCAAGCCATTAATCCAGTGCAGCTTGTGGTATGGTCCATGAGCACTGAAATCTCTCCGATTCGCGAGGATGAGGCGGAGGATTGTGGTCTTCCAACCACACCGGACCATAAAGGGACAAGGTTGGGCTGGCAGAGGACGGGCACCCTTACGCCCATTGGTTCACCAGCCCGAGGCTTTGGAGGTGAGGTTGACAAGGATAAGATGGAGAAGCTGTTCCGACCTCATACAAACAGTATGAGCTTTGGTGATCCATGTCGAACTCAGGAGAGACCGAACTCGGCTCCAGATCGAGTCTTGGGTTGTCCTCCTTCCCCTGGCAATGTGTTCCAGAGTGATGTCCAGGGAAAGCTACACCCGCCTTCGCCCGAGCAGCCAACCTTCCACCCTCAGCCGCAGAGGCATCAGCTGGTCATGCCACTTCTTGAATCAGAGGCTTCACCAGGTTTGGAGGGTCGTGAGCAGGATGGTAGCCAAGTCGGCAACCAAGTCCAGATGGTGAACGTGGTGAACAATGCAAATATCTTTGGGGAAGCATTGAAACCACGGCCAAAGCCACTGACAGGTTGGGATGAAAACTCCAGTGCTCCAACCCCTGCGCCAGTGCCAACGCCACTTGGTACCTCCTGTAGCACACCGGCATTGGATGCATCCACCCCATCGCCGGAGCAAAACGGCTTTGGTGCCGACAACAAGGATTCTTTGGAGTCTCCCAAGCCACGGAGCGTGCAGAACACGCCAGAGCCAAGTCATCACTACAGCTGTGGAGCTGCCATCAGCACTCCATCGCCTTGCGCGATGTCTTCTTTCAATCAGCTTGGTTGGCGACTAAATGAGGCCATGCCTGGTATGTTGGGCAATTTTGAACTGCCAGTGCTACCACCTCCGCTGCCATCCGGGTCCGGCCCCATGGGGATGGGATGTGGAGTGCCCGAGGTGCCGAATGGCAACATTGATATGTCGCTGTGGGGCATGCGACCGCAGGAGATGACAGCACAGCAGTTAGCAGCACTGAGCTTCCAGGCGTACAATTGGGGCCAGCTGGGCCAGCTGCCTGGCTGGCGATTTCCAGGTCCAGTTCCACCCGTTCCCCCGCCAGAGACAAGGCCCAAGGAGCGGGAGAATTCCAGCTTCCCCAAAGAAGGCTTAACTAAGGAGCTGTATCCCAACACCTCAAGCGGTGCAGGTGCAACAGGAGCAGCCGGTGCAACCAGGAATGGACATCAGGGAAACCATGGAAACCATGGAAATCATGCAAGGGTCTCCTCTGGGGACAGTGAGGCCAAAGAGAGAAAGTTAGATGTGTCGAGCTTGCCCGCTGAAGCACAAGAGCTAGTGGGTCAAGTGAACCAAATGTCCAAAACACAGGCTGGCAGCAAGTTTCTTCAGCGCCAGCTTCTTAAAGGTTCGGGTGCTGCTGTTGAAGTGATCCTCGCAGAAGTCGAGGATGAGATTGCAGCCATGATGTGTGATTCCTATGGGAATTACCTGTGCAGTGCAGCATTTCGTGCGTGCTCCCAGAGGCAACGGCAGCGAATGCTGGCAAAGTTGGCCCCCCAAATCGGGCAGATCGCCTGCGACAAACGGGGCACCCATGCCCTGCAGGCGCTCATTGGATTCCTTCAGCTGGAAGAGGAACAGCTGCAGCTGATGACGGCCATCAAGAGCCAAGTCATTCATCTGAGCAAGGATCCCAATGGAATCTTGGATAATTAATCTTGGTAGCTTTTACAATCTTTACATCTTACTACTGTAGGATTTTAGGTGGCTTCAGGATGTCTTTCATTTTCATGCGCTTATTGGAATCATTGGAGATTTAGTGGGGGGGGCACATACATTCCGAGATATTCCGAGTTCTTGCAGGCCAACACAATATGAGTAAGGGCCCAAGCCACCATAAGCATCCATAAGCCACGATAAGCCACGACAAGCCACCCAGGAACGCATGTGGTGCAGAAACTTCTCTCATCCTTTTCGGCCCCTATCACAGACTGTGTCTTCATGGTCATGGCCGATCGACTCTTGGAAGTGGCTCATCATCCTTATGGGCTTTGTGTCCTCAAGAAGTGCATCTCTGAAGCCAAAAACCATCAAGAACTTTTGCTGAAGCAGCTCGTGCGACACACCATGGATTTGGTGCAAAGTCCTTATGGCAATTTTGCTATCCAGCATGCTTTGGAAGAGTGGGGTGGCCAGCGGTGTTTGCCAATCCTTCAGAAGATGGAGGGCCGGATGATGCAACTTAGCATCCAAAAGTATTCCTCCAATGTGGTCGAGAAGCTTTTCAGCAGTGCTCCAGAGGACATGCGGCAACGCTTCATTGGTGAACTGGTGGCGAGTGAGAAGATGTCTATGTTGGTGAATAGCGGCTCTTCATGGTGCAGAGCATTTTCTCATTTTTTCTGCTCCTGTTTTTTCTCATTCCAGGTGGAATCAGGTTGGAGTTTTCCCTGTTGTCCAGGGAAGATAGGTGAGTTTTCACCCGTTTCCACCTTTTTATCATTTTTCAAGGGGCTGGGAGCCAGGCAACTATGGGCACTATGTGGCGAAACGAGCCTTGCAGATGGCCACCCCAGAGCAAAGTGAAGCGTTGATCAAGTCGATTCGAGCGAATCTCGCCATGCTCCCCAACCGAAGACTTTGGGTGAAATGGGAGAATGTGCCTGGTGCTTTCAGAATAACATGTTTTTATATGTTTTTTTTTTTAATAACATATTGTTTTATGTTTTTCTAGTATCGATAGATACACAGATCCACATATGATCGCATATGTATTAATTATGTATATGTCGACCTTTGCAAACATCCTTCAATATGATCAATACAGTCAATACCTGTGGATATATCGATGAGTGACCAAATGTGCTCCCAAAAAACATTTGGAGACATCTTGAGATTTTTTGAGGCTTTTTCCAGACATTTCCAGACCCAAAACCACCAGGTGATGAGTGGAGCGGATTTGGATGGTGACACTTTGAAGGCTTCCAATGGCTCCAATGGCTCCAAAGCCCGGGGAAAGAGACGGGAGCAGTGCCCGCAGCTTGTGCGGTGATGCGTTAGTGACTGACTAAGGCGGACCCCTTTGTCCAGGAGCTGAAAGAAATACCCCAACAAAAATGTCATACAGATAAAGTTGGAAATCACAGCAACAAACATGGATATCAGAATGGTATGAATGTGTATGAATGCAGGATTTTTAATCTGTTGGATTTGAGAGACTGACTCTCAGATGTTGTTGCTGAGGGGATTCTGATCCGCCTACATCTCACCCAAGCCCAATCTCAAGGTATGTTCTGTTATTGTGCAAGCGTGCAAGGCCACTGGACAGGTCAATGAAGAATCTCCACTTGCAAGCCCTTGTCGCATTGTTGACGATTTGCTATCTCCAGGATTATTCTCACCGCATCATAAATATACTAAACACATATAATTTAACATCATATAACATCATATAACTATAGCATACTATAGCGACTGTACCTAAAACAATCCTCCACCAAGGCTGGTTGATGCTGGTTGTTAACCACGCGTGTACGTTCCTTTGGTATCCTTTGGGTCTCGTAATTTGACTTGGCTCGTCCAGCTGCCGGGGCCTTGGAGAGTGCCTGGCGTACTCATCGAGGCGAATTAGTCACACAACCGCAATATCTTAGAGCTGGAAAATGGATCGGTCCGCTACGCCACTTCAGATACTTCAGCATTTTGGATGTTTGAATATGTTTGATCTATGTTAGATGCTGAAAGTTTGCTGCTGAGAATCTAGAGTCGAGCTCTTGCGCTTGCAGGGTGGTCGGCAGCCAGGCATCATTTACAGCTTGAGTTTTTCCATCGCGCCTTGGCCCAGAACAATTGACGCGTTGATGCGAGATTCGTCCAGAATTGCTAAGATCCCTACCCAGTGCAGTTTTTTCAGACGACGGAAGCATTGATCCTGGCAGGACACTAACACAAGGAGTTGTGCTGTTTGGACTTTGGCGGACATCATTGCAGCACAATGGCAGACCTTGGAAACCACTGACAGTTTCAGATGTTTCAGTCTTTCTTCCTGTGCTGTTTAGCTCTGCCAAGATCGTGGTCGTTGGCAATGTCTCAATGTACCAAATCTGTGCTGCTGTCGCCGACCACGTTGGCTTCAAGTACAAGGAAACCAGGGAAGCTTGTTACATGTTACTCAGCTTGCATTAGCTGACAAGTGCAAAAAGTGCGGGGAAGAATTTCGAGGAATTTCCACAGATAAACTCGGCCCGAATGTCTGCATTTTATGTCGTTTAAATGTACTCCTTCGCCAGGAAATCAGTCTGCATTTCTACCAAATCAGAGATGTTATTTTGATGATGAACTCTCACTGTTAGCCTGTTGAAAGTTCCGCTAAGGATTTTGTATTTCATATCAATCACGTTGAACGTACTTTTGGACCTTGTGTGACTTGGTCGCAGACCTCTTCCCGGAAGGGTTGTATTTATAGATGTAGGCAATACTTCGGTAGATACCTGAGTTTTCCGAGCTTTTGGCACATTTTCCTTTTCGGGCAGAGGAGGGCACCAGATTTTTTTAAATCAAAATTCCACTGTCTGTATGACGGGGTTCTTCGCTTTGGGGGGCCCTAAAATGGTTGCAGTGTAAACCCGCAGTTTGTCCTTTGGGGGTTCGAAGAGCTCGTTGCATCCAACTTTTTTTGTTCACCCTCATTTTGGGCGTGTTGTTTTGTATATGCACTCGTCCTCCTCCTCCTCATCCACACTCATCCTCATCCTCATCATTGCCTGGCCTTTGTATGCTGTCTGAGTTTCATCCACATCAATTACATCCATGGCTGCTGCCAGGACCAATTTGTTGATCAGGAACCAAGAAATACCAAGAAGTGTGCTCGGCGCTCTCCCCATCATCATCTACTACACTGTACTGTATCATTTACTATCAGACTATCACAACTACATACCTCGCGTACCTCGTTCCCCCTGCTTGCTCAAGTTGAATTGGCTCTTCCCTAGCAGTCCAGGATGACGTATTTCATGTCCTTTGCCATTATGGTGCACCTGGGCTTCCGGACTCATGATGGCATCCCTTTGACGAAGCTCCCCTATTTCGTGCAGCGATTTGAGGCTGGGATTCGGAAGGGATTCAGAACTGCACACTGCAGATCACCGCAGTGATTGATGCCGTTCAATCCTATGAGTTCTGGGGATGTTGCAGGCACATGAAAGATGTAGTGAGTCAAAATATGGGGTCCATTTGTGCAGGCCTATGCTATACAGCGTGCCATGGGCCAGAACCTGCCTCTCGCCACAGTCTTGTTTTCAGATTTTTATGTCCACCTGCCAAAACAATCATGACATGATCAATTTCACAGTTACTTATTTCTGTGTTTGTGTTGTTTTCGTTGCTCTTGCTTTGCTCAAATTGCGCTCGCGCCTTGAGCATCCAGAATCATCAGTTCTACATGTCTATATACTGTACTTATCTATCCTTCCTTTCGTGTTTCAATTGCATTTAATTGTTGGACATGAGCTCCATGTTTGTCATCATTTGATCTTCAAATCCATTGTCCTCTCACTATGAATCAACATTCAATCCTCACGTTTGCCATTGCATGACATTTTCGGTGTGGACCCCGGGGGGGTTGGAATATGTAGGAATCCAAGAGAATCCAAGAGCTGCCTTGAAGCAAGTTTCGGTTTCCGAGGTATGACTATGCCTTTCCATCAACTTTCCTGCTTCCATTTCTGGGTGAACCAGTCATGGCCGTTTGCGTCGGCACCTCAACGCCGGATCTTTGTGCAGCAGGGATCAGCAGGGTGGAATTGCCTGGTCCGCTGGCACCGAGGGCCTGCTTCGACTTGGCATTTTGGTGGTGAGGTCACATCCTGAATTGAAGCTTGTCAGATCATGCGCTTCAAGCTGCTGATGACTTGCAAATGAACAGTGTGGATGGATCCTGCTGAGACATCAATACTTTTGAACCATGTTGAACATGTTGAACAATTTATTTGGTCATTTACTCATACGTAGTGTTACTTTGCGATGATTCATTATTTGTGATGGCGCTATCATGTAAGGAGCCAGCGAGCAGCAATGGTGCTTCTCGCTGCACCGGACTTTGAATTTGGTCGCTATGCAGACACGCTCGTCAATGTGGTTCTGGCCGTGGGAGGCTGAGAGCAAGGTGAAAGGGTGAAGAACGATGGTTTCTTGTTCGCTCCTCCAGTAAGAACAATGATGAAACACATGAAAATTCAGATCTTACAACACCAGGTGCATGTAATGAAAAGCCTCATAGGAGGGATGCTTCCTCTTGGACAACGATACGGCGTCTGATATGTGCCCTCTGTTGAGTTCAAAGACTTCTTCAATGAGGTGACTATGTTCTTCTTTCCAGGCTGGCTGCACCATCACTGATACATACTGATACAATTCACGACAATGGCAGTGCCGGCAGTGCCGAGGTGGCTACACCCATTGGATCTTCTTCATGCTTGCTGTTTCACAGGCGCAATTTTTCACTCTTTTGCAGTGAACATTGGTGAACTTGGGTGCAGCTCAGCGGTTCCATCCATCACAGTGGCGAGTTTTCCCGCGCAGCCATTTTGCCTCGAGAGCTGCTTGGGCTCGTTTCGGACGATGGCAGAATGACCGGTGAGCCAGGCCATGGTCCGATGTCATCCGCATCAGCTCTGTGAAGTCCGATGTCTGGTCTGGTGATTTCTAATGCTTGACGGGATGCAGCATGCTAATTCGACTTTCTACACAGTTTTTTTATTTTAACCAGCATCAGTCACTGAATGTTTGTTTCATGTTTGATGCCCCAGAACCCATCAGATATCAATCATATCACATCCATCCTCTGGAATCGGACTGATTTTTAATGGCATTTATATGATGATGTTTACATATATTAGTTTACCAATTTTTACCGATTATCAGCTCCACTAAGGACGTTTCATTCATCATAGATCATTATTGTGTTTAAATCTACGATTTTCGTGCGGTGTTGGCGAGGCTGTCCTGAGTTGCTGGCACTTCACGGACAAGATACCACTGTCCAGGTGGCCCAGGCAGCTAAACCTCCCGTCATTTCTTGTTGAAGCACTTCAATGATCTTACATAACCCAATTCAGTGATGGATCAGCTTACAAATACTATAGACTATTTTTGTATAGTGACACAGATATTGATTATATTTCGATATAAATGTAGAATTTATAGAGACTATGGATTTCCCTTGCGAGCTCCTGCGAGAATCTTCTGCAAGCTATGAGCCTGAAAGGCGCTGCAGCCCTTCATAGCTGAATGGCAAAGAAATCCCAGGCGCCAACGCTGCCTGCGCTGCCACAGGTGATTCCACATGAAACCGTGTGTGCCATGAGTGGTGCTCTAGGCACACACTCCCTGGTGTCAACATGTTTCAACTGGACTGTATTTCTTGGATGTCTCTGAAAAGGATGCTGAAAAGGCTGGGGCTAATTTGGAACACAATTTTGAGATGCAAAGATAACAGATATGCTAAGACTGCTAAGATGCGCAAAGTGGATCTCAAGTCGAACATCGCATTATTATAGCAACGGCCACAGCACACGTCCTGGTCGAGGCATTCCACAGCTCTTCTGAGTCGGTTGGCGCGGCAGCGCAGAGCACACCAGTCATGGCAGGTTCGATGTGGTCGAAAGATTGGAAGTCAGTTTATATTGTTTATATACCAGACCTTAGTGCAAAGAGTGCAAAACGCAGTATAGAGACATATAGGAGCAGTTTTGTGAGCATTCATTTTCTTTTTTATGTTTTCTGGCGAAGGCAGCCACAGTAGTCATAGTCATGTTGGTGTGGTTTCGCAAATTTCTCTGAACGATGTTCAATTTACTGCTTAAATGTTTTTCATGGAACATGGATTGAGTTGGCAAAATCATTCTCCACGACTTATTCCAACCCCTTTGGTAGCATTGAATGAAGTGCTGAAGTTACACCACCATCTCAAAGCATCTTACAGCAACTGGGAGAATCAGACCATCCAAATTTGGAGACTCTGGTGTCTTTAGCACAAAGATCATTATTTTTTATTGAAGCAACATTGTAGATGAATATATTATATTTGCATCTGCAATGTTGCTTCATCCTACTACTACTACTACTGCTGCTACTACTACTACTACCACTACTACCACTACTACCACTACTACCACTACTGCTAATAATAATGATTAATAATAGGAATCATTATATATATAATTATATACATATACATATATTTATTCACGTATATATATATATAAGTAATGTAATTATAGTAATGTAATTTAAAGTAATATAATGGTGTTGGCATTCAATGTAATGGAATGTAAAGGAATGTAATAATGTAATGTAATGTAATATAATGCAATGTATCTATTGTACATATAGAGATGTTCATACACTATTTGCTTGCGGGCACAGCCCTCTAAAAGCTCCAAGGTTAAAAGTCTAAGTCATTTATACACTACATAAAAAGATAAATATGGCAATAATCTTAACAATCACACACATGCACACGATACATGTTATATACGTAGATGATTTGGAACATATTGGAACTGCCGTCAGCGTTGAACCATGGACGTCTCCTTGGCACAGATGCAGGTCCTCCAGGCGATGCGTTTCCACCGCCTGCCGTTGAATGTCTACCACTGCAGCTCCGTCGTATCAGCCTATGAGAAGGCGCAAGCGCCACAGCCATGCCACAGCCATGCCACGTTGCGTGAGGGGTGATGATACGTTTCATATACTAGTATCGTCATGTATCGTCATATTCTATCAAATTCATCATTACCATGGTTACCATGGTTACCATGGTTACCATGGTTACCATAACATATGTAATAGGGGCAAATTGATATGGTTGTTGGGTTTGTGACAGCTGGCTATCCGACTGTGCCGGTACATTTTGGAAGAAACGATTTCAAACAAGTCAGTCATCCAATCTCTGGAATCCAGGTGAACGATTGGTCAGCTGCACTACGAATGTCCCTCGACGACATATATCAGCCGTTCATGCATCAATGCCAAGCATCAAGAACACGGTCGGGTTTCTATGGTTTGTGATTGCAGTTTCTTGCAACAACATAAAAGGCACTGAACAGGCTACATGGAGCATCATGGTCAATCTGTGCTGATACAAATATGATGGTAGCTCTGTCATGCAACCTAAAGATGCAAGCTTTGTGGCTCGATTTGATAGCCAATGGATACCTATAGGGGATACCTGTTACCAGACCTTTGCTCCGCATGGCAACATCAGCGCCCCAGTGTTCGCGTGCACCCTCGCTATGGCTGGTCCATGGTGCTCTCATCTTAGTGCAGGTGATATTTGGAGGTGGCTCCGTGGTTGGAAAACTCGGCGCGGAAAAGTTCAATCCAATGCTCTTCGCATTAATTCGTGAAGGGGTCTCCGGACCTACGTTGTTGGCACTGGCATTGTGGCGTGATGGCACCCTGGTTCCATTGCGAAAGGATTGGGCACTGATCTTAATCATGGGTTTGTGTGTCTTTTCCAACCAGGCCTTCTTTATCATAGGGGACAAGCTGGCAGGTCCCATCATCAGCAGTGCGTGGCAATGTTCGCAGCCGATTTTCACCTTGCTCATCAGCCTTACGCTGGGCTGGGAACCAGCAACTGTGCGGAAGTTGCTGGGCATTCTGCTATCCTTTCTGGGTGGTGCTTTCTTGGTTTGCTACGGCCAAGACGTGGGAAGTCCCGGGGCGGTTGGGAATGTGCTGTTGGCCCTCAACTGTCTTGGCACCTCTCTCTATGTGATCTTTGCCAAGATTGCTTTGGAACGATATCCCCCCCCTGACAGTCACAGCCTGGGCCATGATGTCTGCAAGTGTGATGATGGCCATTTCAGCAGGAAGTCTCAACAACTCATGCGGCTTCATTCATTTCATATGTCCACCCACGGGCACACAAGACTTCACTTGTGGAAGCTACCAGGCTTCATGTTCAGCTTGGTTGGTGCCAGCGACTGCCGTTCTTCCCCTGGCATATTGGATCATCTTCCAAAGCATCTCAGCCTATTTCCTACTCACTTGGGCCAATCGTTACGCCCGAGCTGGCTACATTCTGGCATACACTGCCCTGCAGCCATTCACCAGTACCCTTCTTAGTGTGATTTTGATCCTCTCTGGGGTCCAAGGGTTGCAGATGCCTGGCTGGAACGTCCTAGGCTCCATTGGTATCTTTCTTGGACTTATTTTGCTGATCCTGGATGGGAAACGTCAGCATGAGGCTGACCAAGCCACCTTGCCATCCTTGCGTGAGTCTTTGGGAGATTAGAGCTGCGAAGGTTGATGAAAAGAACTGCTTGGCAATCAGTCAAACTCATGCACACATTTTGATGGAACTGGCAGAACTGGCAACAACTATATTATTAATATAACATGTTCATGAAAGCCTTTGAAAGAGGCTGGTTGGAGTACAGCGCATAAGTTTGCAGCCTGCTATCCTTGCATGCAATCATTTCTTCCAGCAATTAGAGGGTGCCTTCTTAATTCTCCAGAATTGTGACTGTGTTGAGATGTGTTGAGATATTGGGAGCCAGGTTGCTAAACATGTCGGCTGAGAAGATCTTGCCCAACACTTTCACCTTCAATTCTGCTATCAGCGCTTGCGAGAAGTGTGGCGAGTGGCAGCAAGCACTCAGCCTTTTGCAGGACATGGTGGCTTGACTCCACAGGAAAACAAAACAAATTCCGGGTCCAGCACCTGTCCTTTCTGTTGAAGGGGCCCATAGGTGGAAGAACGCCTTTAAGATATCTTAAAATGATGGAAGCACAGAGGGTACAACAGCTTTTGACACATCTTTCACAATTAGCCAGAGGCTCTGTGAATCTTTGTGAAGTTTAAAGATGCAGAGCCGGTGCCCTTGAGGTTTCCCAGCGCCTGTGCGATGTGATCTCGTACAACTCCTCCATAAGTGCGTGTGAGAAAGTGCTGTCCTCAAGGGCAGGTGAAAAGTGTCCACTTCTTTATCTTCTTTCACATGAATCCAGGAAGCTATATGAAACATGGTGAAACATCATGAAAGTAAATATCATTGAGAAGCACCATGTAGTACCCATCATGGCTACTTCCTGAGGCTGCACGGTGGCAGGAAGCACTATGCCTCTTCCAGGCTTCCGAGCTGCACTTTGTTGAAGCTGCGAGCCTTTGAAGCGAGAGAGTCTCCAAGGCGTCCAAAGGTAAACTTAGGGTTCCTTTTTCGATTGGTATACCGATGTATACGATTTGTACGACCATTGGCAATTGGGGTTTTCCAGCAGGTCAAAGAAGTTGTTGCATGGAACATTCGGAGACTGCGGCCAGAGTGGCAGATGCACAGATGCTCTCAGGACATCCCGGCTATGCGACTTTTGCCAGATGTCATTAGAATCTCGTCATTAGATCAAAAGTTCAAATGTGTTTCGCTGGCCAGGAAACAAGACAATATGAACAGCCTGTTGTAATTGGAAGAACCATTGGGAAAAAACAATCATTATTACTATAGGCTTATCATCATGGCTTATCCCATTTGTGTGTAAGTTACATTATATCCTCATCATTGATGGGCTGGCTCGCCTTCCCAGTACATAGCTGGGGGGTCCCATCCTTCTTCGTGCTCGATTTGAATTTCCAAGGCTACAATGCGGTAGTCAGTTCGTGCGAGAAGGGCGACTTGGCTCAAGATTACAGCTTCAGAAGGTGAGGTGGGGGTCTTTCCTCGTTTCCAGAAGGAATGGCTCTCACCATTTGGTAGTTGCGTCACCAAGGTGGACGCTGGCAAGAAGCCCTCCAGCCACTTGCAGCAACGTTTGGGGGGCTTTCCTCGTTTGACGGGGTGGTGTTTGGGTTATTTGGATGGTACCGGCGTGTGTATATATATATATTTATATTTATATTTATATTGATATTTATATACTAATATATACATACCGTAAATTTGTATAGGCATATGCTCCCCATATAAAAAATGCGCGTGTATGTTCTATATTGCGGAACTCTGGAGTCCTTCAGAAACAGCTGGTGAACTTGCTCGAGTCTACCGAAAGAAGCGTCAGAACAGGATTTGGAGTTTCGATATGAGGTGGTGCTGTTTGAGATTGTTTGTATAATTAACCATTGGCTAAGGCTCCTGAGCTGCATGCCTCCTGGGATGCCAAATGCTTGAACCCAAGTCAACGCCATGCTTGGGCATCATTTAGCATCCGACATCAACAACACGGTGACACATGTTCTTCATTATTCTTCATTGTTCTTCCACATGTTGATGATTGTTGATGCAGCTGCAACATTGCGCATCATTGTGCCATCCATTGTAATTCACCAGTTTTTTTTCTGATCTGACACCTGACCCCCTCAGTTGGGTCACTTTCTTTCCAGCTTTCGCTAGGTTCGCAGCTTCAATGCGGCCATCAGCGCTTGCGTCCGGGCAAAGGCTTCGGCGGCATTTCGTCTCTTCGAGGAGATGTCGGAGAACTCTTTGACGCCCGATGTGACTGGATTTCGGCAGCTGTGCAGGACATGGCACCGACATGACATCAATATGATGAAGACATTGGTAATATTTGGTAATATTATAAGGTAATCTAAGTATGGATCCTGATATATCCGGATGAGGGTTTTGATATGCTTTAATTACATCCTCCTCAATCTACTTCAGGATTCCGCCCAAATGAAAAGATCAACGTTTCTCTGTCATTGTCCTAGGTGATCAGCTACAGTGCAGCGGTCAAAGCCTGCGAAACAGAGTGGCTATGGAAAGAAGCGCTTGGCTTTTTGCACCAAATGCGATCTGAATCGATCCTTGAACAGCAAGCCACGCTATGGACTGGGAATAGTGGATGGCAAATGGGGGCAACATCAAACTTAGCATGGTCACTATAGCACTTCTATTCCTGCGGTTGAATGCATGAGCAACCCCGAATCCTAGGGCCCTAGGATCATTTCATTTCATATCATTCATGTCATTTTGTACGATCTGCGCGTCTAGCAGCCTAGCGCCCAGGATAGCTCCAAATTTGATTACTCTGAATTCAGCCATTGCTGCTTGCGACAAAGCTGGTCAATGGGAAGTCGCTTTGTCCTTGCCACTTGACTACTTTGGGAGTGGGCCCGGAATCTGAGGAAGCTTGATCAAATTGGCTCTTTCAGGTTCGAGTTTTATGAGATTTTGGTTTATATATATATAATTTTACAATGGTTTTTATATGTTTTTATATACACTGTTATATACTTTCTTTTTGTACGGTTGGCTCTTACTGTAGCCAACTGGCTGTTCACCAACCAGAAGCTTGTTTCGTTCCCGTGTGACCACCCTGCGTGTCTCATACTTTCAGGGCATGAATGACAAGAGCACAAGTGCGTCCATCACTCGAGCTGGGTTCAATTTGACGAAACATATTGACACATTATTGAAACGTTCTCGTACGTTCTCCATACTTCACTTCATCTAAGAGGCAGCGGGAACCATGACTCAACCAACTAAGCATTTAGATGCCTTCCGTTAAAATACTGTTCATAAGAAACGGCCGCGGAAATGAAATACATGTGATCATGCACCTGGTTTGCTTCTTGCATCATCCATCATCACCCATTGCAATCCATTTTATTCATAGCTAATCACAACCATCATCCCAAAATATGCAAGGCAGTAACCATATATGATATTATATATGATCATATATTATATAATTATATATCATAATTAATATACCATATAATATACATAATATATATATATATCCCAATAATCATCCCATCCATTTCCATCCCAGGTTGCTGGGCCTCGGTGCTTGGAAGCTCCAAGCGGATCTCATCAGTTTCAACTCCGCCATCAGCGCCTGCGGTACCAGCGCTGCATGGCGGATGGCTGTGGTGCTGCTGCAACGATGCTGGGACTGGCAATGGTTGGTCCAATCTTCACCATGGGATACCATGGGCCAAGAAAGCAGCCAAGAAACCCAACCATTTCTAGGGGTCAATAGGGGTCAGTAACTTTCAGCAACTTGGATTTAACGTGGAGCTTGGATAAAACATGTAAAAAACCTCACAAATTTTCATCACTTGCTTTGACTACGGGTCTAGTTGGCATTCAATCGAAAATACAAGTTCAGCTACAAACCATGTTTGTGTTTTGCACCCAGGGTCAGGAGGGGCGTGATCAGATAAGATATGAGAGTCTTGTTCATTTCCAGCTAGAGATCGGACAGGACAAAGATACCGAAAAAAGAGAGAGAGAGAGAGGAGTGGGTCTCAGCCGGGCATAGGCCCAAGCTTGCTGCATGTTTTGACGTCGGATCACAGGCACTCCCCTCGTTGAAGTGTTTGGTTGATTCACAATCCACATCCAGATGTTGCGCGGTGCAAGGAACTTTTTCGCAATCCATGGTGCCCAATGCGGTCACACTCAACGCAGTGATGACAGCTTGCCAGCGGGGCAGGGAAGGCTCTGCTGCTTTGCGTGTCTCCAGCTCCATGCTGAAGGCGGAAAAAAACCTGAGTTTTGGCCCTCAAGATGATGATTGCAATTGATTGTCAAATCTTGGCTTCTTTGTTCAGCCACCTTTGTCTCGGTTTAGTGGGAATGAGGTTGTTACACTTGCCAGGCTGGCATATCACCAAATCAGATCACATTCTCCGTGCTCTCGGAAGCCTACGCAGCTGAAGGGAGCTGGACGAAGGCTGGTCGAAGCTGTCAGCGTTCATATCACAGCCCTCTCCACGGCTTTTTGGGCATTTAATGGTGTCATTTGATGGGCGAGCACTCGCTTGTGCACTTATGATTTGCCTCGCTTGTGCACTTGCGATTCTCCTCGCTTGTGCACTTATGATTTTCTTGTCGATGCCATTCGGATGCCAGCCTCCTGTGCCATGGGGCACAGTAACGTGTTAGTTTTAGACATGCACGTCCTGTTTGGTACAAAAATGTTTGCATTATTGTTGGGGCCAATGGTGTTTTGCATTGTTAATGCAAAACATGTGGAACTGCTGCGTCAAGACGGGTTTGATCTAAGGGTTGAAAAGTCTTGCCTGTCAAGTTTGACTGGTATCTTGTTGTGCTGTATGTGCAACTTGTCTTGTGAGTTTTTCACACAGAAATTCTGTCAAAGGCATTTGAACCTGGTTGTTGAGATGTTAGTCATAACAACCCTTATTGGTGTATAGATGATGATGAACCCTTCCCACATATATTAAAACATAAAGAAATACTCTCTTTTTTTTTGAAAATTCTTACCCCCTCCACATTTGCTGAGCATTCAACCTATGAGACAAATCTGACACTCAAATCTATGAGACCAACACTCGCACTTAATTCAAAGGGGGATTCCAAAACTTTGGGGAGGATGTCAAACATTAGACGATGCGACCCCCCCTCCCCCCCTCCTCCCCTGTTCCCCCCTGCCCCCCCTGTTCCCTATGCAACCCCCCCCCTTCCCCTGCTCCCCCCTCCCCCCCTTGTTCCCAATTCCACCCCCCACTCCCCCTGTTCCCCCCCTTGTTCCCACATATGACCCCCCGCCTGTTCCCCCCTCCCCCCCTTGTTCCCTATATGCAACCCCCTGAGGTAGCTTTCCCCTTTGAGGGAGCCCTGGATTACTATTTACAACACCTGTGGCAAGCTAACGCAAGACGCACTACTTTTTCTAGGCTGCGAGCTGTTGCTAGTCTTGAGCCATGCGGAGTGCGCATGAAAGATATGAATTAGGAATACATGTCAACAAGCCTAAAAGCATTGTGTAGACACGTAAACAAAAATAAATCACAAACAGACACAAATTTTCTTCGTGTCGGAACATGCAACTCTGTTTCACAGGTAGCCCTCAGCCTGTGATCTGCTGTGAGACGGTCCGAAGACAAAAACAAAACTGTACAAGAAGCTACTCTCCGCTGTTGGCAAGCGGTTGTTCTCGGCTGTTGGCAAGCGACCGCAAATGCGGAACATTGCAATTTTTTGGGGCTACAAGCCCATAGTGAAATAGTAACCGTAGAAACTCAGTTCGTTCCTCCTTCTAAGCTCACCGGTCTGATGAAAGAATATGGACTGATCCGGTGTTTGCGGAATTAAGTCAAGCCACGATCCGTCGCATTTTTGAATCCAACGCTGTCTTGGTACTTGGTACCCTGGGACGGGTTCTTCATTAGAGGTACGAGGATTCACTCTATAGTATGACGGCTGATCATAAGTGTAACCGTAATTACGAGCCATTGCGAGCCCGTCATGCGGGATGGAGGCGCAGGAGGCTCAGGTACGTTGATTGGCCTTTTTCTGGTTGTGTGCCTCTGGTCGGCCTGCTGCGATCTCTCTCTCCACGGCGGTGGAGTCTTCGGTGGACCTGGCAGATCTGGTGGCGTTCTTGGCTGTTGTGAACCTAATGTTCGTCCGGGCGGCGGAACTGGAGGTGCCTTAACAGGCGGCCGAGCACTTGATGAGGATCCCGACGACTTCGGTGCTGATGATTGTTTGAGAGACACCGGAGCTGCCTTATAGCGAACTGGCTTAGCAGTTTCAGTTGGACCCTGTGGCGGTGTTACAGGTGTTCTTGCAGGTGCAGGAGGTGGCCTTGGTGTTTCTGCCCTTGAACGATAACTCCTGTTCCTGCTGACTGATCGTGATCGAGTCTGTCCAACATTCCGGTGTGAATCAGTCCGCAAAGGCGGAACACTGTCTCTCCTTTCTTCTCGTTTGTCGAGATATCCTTGAGTTTTCTGCATCCATTTTTCACGTCTTTTATCTTCAGATTCCTTGGATCGGATGCGCATATTTTTCAATGATTTTAATTGGGCATATGTAAGTAGAGGTGAATGCCATCCACAGTCCTTCTCAGCCAAACCAAGATCATATGCCAGCAAATGTTTTAACTGTTCAACATCATTCAGCATAACTTCATCGGAAAAGGCTGATCCTGCGAATCCATCCGCAGAAGCGGAATCTTCTTTGGCACGTGCTTCCGTGACAGCGATCTGCTTACCGTAACAAAGAGAAATTAGAAGCATTGAATCACAATCAGCATCTTCTCCACGCATGCTTCGGATGTAATCAGCGGCAGTGGTCGATGAAACTACGTTATACGTAATACGGTTGATCGGACTGCGGTGAAGGTTGATCTGCTGGAGAAAGCGTTCGAGGATGTCGATCATGATGCATGTCCGGAAATCGGAATGGTCATCAGACTTAAAACTTCGCTGTGCGAAAAGGTTGCCGTCGCCGGACAAAAAGTCACACTGGTGCTCGACACAGCTTGCGACAAATTGAAGCCATTTCTGGCACGTCTCTTGATAGGCACCACTCCATGCATATGACGAAACATGAAAAACCGCTACACGGCATTCGGCTAACATGAGACGTCGTACGTCGTGGGTGTCAGCACCAAGATTCACTTCACAGACTTCCACGCCGGAAACGGCAAGATCATCGTCTCCGTCGATCTCGCAGATCGAGTGATCAAGAAAATCAAGCGTCGATGCAAGTGGACGATCATGCTGATAAACCGCAGATTCGACATTTTTCTCGATGTCCGGTTTCGGAACACGAGCGCCAGAAGAAGGGTCAACAAATTCTCCTGACGTATTCATGCCATGGCAAAGGCGAAAAATAGCGCCATGCAAAATCCAGAAAAGCGAGTCTTTATTTTCTGTTTCAATCTGGTGTTGACATAAAAGTTCAATAAATGAGCCTGCATCATGTGAGCCACGGAGAAAAATTGCAACGGACTGTGATTGAATTGCCGGGTGGACTACCATGCCGATCATCCCATACTCTTCGGCAAGTTCTCGATGGACGGCAATTCCTCCGTATTCGTCGGAAGCCTCGCACAAGCACACAATATGGGCCGCATTACGGAACACTAAATGTGGCAAGGCACGATGGTTAATATCAGTTCTGACACATTTTGGAAATTTTGAACAACCTCCGATATACGGAATACGGTTGATGTGACCAAGGTTCAACGTCAAAATGCCAAGCTGATACGTGTCCTTCTGAAATTCATGGATGTTCAAACCGAGGACTGCTCTTTTTCCAAGAAGGCACGATCTGAAGAGCTCCAATAAACGGAGAATCTCTCCTTCCTTAAGGTCACCGCCGTCAGGGTACTTGAAGAAAGCCTCAGGTCGCCAGATCGGAAGTGGCGTCTGGTCCTGGGCGTCAACAAAGTGCTCCTGGAGAGAGGGGATTCGACTTCCAAATGGCATTTCATAAATATATTCTGTGTAGTCGAAATCCTCAATACCATGCCGTGCAAAAGACTGCGGGTAGGTATTCCCCATGGATCGGCCTTCACGCAGATGCGTGATAAGTTCCGAGAATTTTTCCTGACGGTTTTGAGCATGCTCGCTTCGTGTGGCTCCGAAATACGAAGATTCAGCAAGAACAGCATCAACCAATTCTTCGATATCGAAAGGCGACTTGGATGAACTGATGCTGTCTGGCATAAAATCGGCGGACAACTCAGAGGAATAATTAACAATGCTATGATTGCAGGCTAAGCCGCAGGTGCGGCATTCCAAGCAATAGGCAAAGCCACAAGGGTGGCACCAGAACATTGCCTCTGCACTTCCGCATTCGGAAAAATTCTTGCAGCATTGAGGACCCGCAGGGCGAGGAAACCATTGAATTTCGTCTGTATCCTTTTTAAATTTTGAGAAAAACTTTTGTGCTGCGTCCGCATCGCGGAACAGTTCTTTTGCCTGGGTGTTCATTTCACGGCGTGCCATTGTCTTAACAACCTGCCTACGGCCACCATAAGGAGATCCGGCCTGTCTATTGATTCCAGTGGCGGTGTCATAGGTACCGGATGCTTGATCAGAACTAGCCGCAGTGGCGGCATCCTTCTGTTTCTTTGGCATAGGCTCAGCCTTGATAGGCCTCTTGGGAGCTTCGCTCTCCGAGGCGGAAGACTGCTCCTTGTTCCTCGCTTTGGCGAGATGTTTCTTAAATCGTTGGGAAATTTCTTCCTTGAGTGTTTTTACCTTTTTGTCTGCCTCTGTCTCAGGCGGGCCAAGCTCTTGGTCGTTCGGAGTGACGTTGGTGCGCATAGGCCTGGCCGGACCGGGATCGGTATTACGGAAACTTTCCAAAAACTTAGATACTACTGGAACCTTTTCAATCTGTGTCCAGGAGAAACCATCTTGTTCATTTTCATTCTTTTTCTCCCAGTAAAGTTGGTGGTGGCAAACATGCATTGCAAGGTCAATATCTGATGTGTAATCATTCATTCGTTTTAGCTCAGCCGGTTCCGGTGTAACAAGCCAGGTGCGATCAACGAAGGACCAAACACCGCAAAAGCGGGTAAACGGTACGGTCTGATCGGCAAGGACATATCGGTTGTGTGTGATCACTGGGCCAAGGCCGGTCACGGCACCGGGGCGTGCAATTAAAATGCAATCTGATTCGGGACGTAATACGTCTCTGATCGTACTGAGTGATGAATCAAGAGTAAAATGCACGTGGTTCTTTCCACCACGGGTGCCGCCTGGGAGCAAACCAAGTCTTCGGATAGAGTCAAGATTTTTCTCGTTCGCTCCATGGATAAGGTACCTCAAGGAAAACATGTCAGGCTTAAATGGGCAGTGTTGAATTTCAACATTAGTGGAATGGCCACTCTCAAAACGAATAAAAATGCTCGCAATGTCGAGACCATCAAGCATGTCGGCTTGGCCTTCTCTTGATGCTTCATCGTCG